AGAGAGAGAGAGAGAGAGAGAGAGAGAGCTCAGAGTAGAGAGAGAGGGGGGAGGAGGGGGCCTGCATCGTTGGTGGAGAGAGATCGTCGGATAGAGGAGGTGTCATCAGGCGATGCAATTATCCAATCACTGTCGTCATCGTTGAAGGTCATTGGGTGGAGGAGGCAACAGTCATGAGAGGGGAGGTTGTCCAACGAGAGGTTCAATTAGGGCTGTCATGGGAGCATGAGATAATAAAATCTAATTAACTTAATGGATCGAGCCAAACCTCTTGGCTTGGTCTAGGTTCGGCTCCATGTAGGTAGGGGAAGGAATTTGATCAATTGACCAAGTCAAACCATTTGACTCAGTTTGGATTGGACTCAATGTCACTCAATGTGACTGGACCAACCCACAAAAGCACCCAGACAGTTAAATTCACCAGCCCAAAGATTTTCGAGCCAATCAGGCCTTGCCTTGCCTTGAGGGCCTAGGAAAGTGCCCAAGTGCCCCGTGACAACACTACAAAGTCTTAAATTAGAAAAAACTTGGCTATAAAGAAAAGATAAAATCTAGATCCATGAATGTGATAGTACATAATAGTTCAGTACTTAGCATTTGGAAGACAAGTAATACATAAGTCAACAATAAACTAAAACAACACGCTACCTGCACTATAGAAACTAATGATATTGCAGATCCTGTAAGTGAGGGAGGACTTGAAAGCTTCATCAACGGGTTTGCAGAATATGCAGCAGGAGAGGCAGGAAGTACTTTCAACACCTGAAGCATACAATATAGCTCAGTAAATGCTAATTGTTATTAACAATAAAATCTGACTTAGTGAATCAGTGATATAGCAAAAGTCATGGACTGGAATCATTATAAACAAGTAGGAGATGTTACCAAGCTATTAGCAGTATTCAGTGAGTGGCCAATGCCTCGGAAGAGGACAGGAGCCTGCACAAAGATTTTAGTCAAGTATCAGAAACAGAGAACAGTGTCAAGAATGGTGATGCCAATTACTTAGAAAAGAAGCAACCCATTGTTGTATGATTCAAAAATGAACAATATATATTCAGCATTGTGTTAGTACCTAAAAGTAACCTAAAACGGGTCATTGTTATTATCTAACACCACATGCGAATCATATGGGTAGTCAAGCATTTATCACTGGCTCAAGAGGAAATCCGAAGATAAACCACCAACAGGAAACAAACTTTTTTCTGAACTGCTAGAACTTCACTGGACCATGTGAATGTAATGAGGCACAAAGTGGCATTAAGCTCTAAAATCATTTAAACTTAAACCACATTAAGGAGCCCAATGTACTATTACCCAAGACAAATTAGTCTCAAACAGCATCCTAATATCTGCATATTTAGTGAGCCTACCATGAGGTTAGAAGTGAGGAAAGACTTAAATTACCCCCAAGGTAGTCTAATTCTGTCATATACCATAACTTGGTGCAATTTATAGCTGCAGTGATAGCTTTAACTTGTATGATTTGCTACATTTTATCTTCCTAAAACTTCTTTATATATTCTTCATTATCCCTCAAAAAATATTTCTCCCACCAGTGGCAAAATATCATAAAATGCCAAATCAAAAGCTTTAAACAACCTTTTTTCCAGGCACTTATCATCTAATTCTGCCAAAAAATCACACAGACAGGTTTTTGTCCTTTACCTATACAATATGACAAAAAAATCAATAATCAAAGTATTGTTTGTTTTCTTATAATAAAATAATTAAGTTATCTTATAGTTTAAAAGTAAGGTTTGTTAAATTAAAATAATTAGGATACATTAAAAAGAAAAGGAAACAGACACATCACAATTTGTTAAAAAAAAATAAAGTCATAGCATGAAATTCCTTGTATTCATAATGAATTCAAATAAAAAATACTAACAAAATTACTTATCAAATATCAATGTTTAAAAAAATAGAAGAAAGAAAAGGTTGGCAATTCAAGGAGTCAGATGAACACTTTAAGCTTTCCTGGACAGGACACCCCAATTTCCATCTGATTTCCCCTTACCATATTGTTAATCAAAGGGGACATAGACCAAAAATCACTAATTTCCAAACTTCCTTTCCCAATCAGGATTATATCTTAACAAAGCAAAGCTTTTGCTTTCTAAAAGTTTTAGTAAAAAGTTTATATTTTTAAAATCTACGAAATTTTGGGAACAAGGATTATCTAACATGCTTCTTATAACTTTTTCACTTTAATACACACAAAAACACAAAACACCTTTAAAGTATGGACCTTTTCTTAATTGAATCCCAGAAAATAAAATTCATTTTACATGGATTTATTTAACTTATTCTCTTTTAACCAGCTAGTATATTGTCCCCATAGTTCGGATCACATACAGAATTACAGTTATACAGCAGTACAAAAATAATCATGAATCAAAATGGTGCAACTCAGCATCTGAAGCACAGTGCTTAAAGTGAGGTATTCAAATTTATTGATTTGCATTATGAAAAAAAAAACAGCTGAGATGATTAAGTTATCTGAAACTTTAAATGACAAAAAAGAGTTGGAAGTAATCGATTGTGATGAATAGAAAAAATGTAAGTTAAAAGAAAATATATATCTGAAGAGTTAATTGAGACCGACGAATTGATTAAAGCATTCATACGACATATGTGGAGAAACTTGTTAAATGTGGTTGCGCCTTTGATCAACAAACTCATAGGGAATATACAGAGAAAATAGTAGTGATTTCAGAAAGCATGCTAGATAAACCTTAGTCCTTGAATTTGAACATACAGAAGGCAATTCCAGACTTACAGACTAAAATTCATTATTTTGTGCCTTGATTTTAAAATAATTAATTTTAGATAACCTTGATATATTATTTTGTGCCTAATTACAAAAATATTAAACTGTTCAGAGATCTTATTCCTATTTAATCAAGTTTTATATGGGTCTGTACCAGCATATAAGTCTGGAGCAAAAGTACATATTATGTAATGCCCCAATCCCAATTAAGAGGAGAGATAAAAACATTTTTACCTCGATCTTCTTGTCACCGAGAATCACATCAGACTTGATGAAATCATCAGAAGCGATCAGTGTATGATCGCCTTCAGTCTCTGAGACTGCATAACTAGTGTGGTCAATAACCATGGCAGCAGGATCCTGAAACCAACAATCAAGATTTAGATGACAAGGCAAAATAAATTTAAGCAACAAGATTATCCATATATCTATTTACATATATACCAAACCACTTGCCTCATCAAAATCAACCCCACATTCAGTTGCGATCTCCCGAATCAAGTCGGAAGTAGACGAGTCTGCCGCCAAGATCAAATCATGCCCTGCGTCAACGAAATCCAGAACCGCCGCCAGGTCCAACGATCCACCAAAACCTACACAGATTTCCAAACATTTGACGCAATAGATCTCATATCGATGCCAAAGATCAAGACTTTCCACTCGATCGCATCAAATTCAAGTTTTCAATCCACAAAACAGAACCTTAAAACACTAGAAAAGTACTCGAAGATAGATCAAAGAGAGAAAGAGATACTTACGCTGGACAGACGGGGAGAATAGGATGAGGCCGTCGTAGAGGTACTGGCCGTACCGGCGTAGGGCGAGCCCAGGGTCGTCGGCGTGCCTTAAATCGAGATCGTACCCTCGGGCTTGGAGGGAGGAGAAGAAGCGAGAGTGGGAGGACCGGATCGCCAGGTCGTCCACCAGAACGAGGAGCCGCCGATCGGTGGGCCGGTCAACGGAGAAGGCGTTGCAGTGGAGGGGGAGGAGGGAGGTCAGTGAGAGGAGGAGAGGAAGGGCGAATAGGAAGAGAAGTGCGAGCTTCGCCATTGCCGCAGACCGCCACTAGGGTTCTGGGGAAGGGCGGAGGGGTTTGGGAGAAGGGGCGAGACGGAGGTCACGGCGAACCGAAGACTCGCTAAATATGGATCGCCTCTTACGAGCTGGATGGGGAGTTGAAAACAGGAAACAGGGAACATGGGCTGAGCTGTACGGGTGTGATTTGACATGTATGAAACTTAATTCAACACTTGGATTTAAATTAATTAAAGCTCACTTCACCTTGAGACATGAAAGATAATTATTTGATTGCTTAAAAGATATTATAAATCTGACACATGAGAAATTAGTCAGACACATGATTGCTTAAAACTTAATTCTTTACATATGTTTGTTGGTACATTATTTTTTTTAACTTGGGATACAGTCTCAAAAATTAAAAACCTTACCCAAGATTCATCCCTTTCCTTTATATGTTCCTATTATTAACATTTATCCAATCACTAATCATCCAACACTAATACAAACATTAGTGATGAATCGGTGTTGCTAAACTGGAACATACAAGAAATTAGACATCATTCAACATTAACACAATCATAAAGCAAAGGCACACCCTGCACAACAAAATTAGTGGTGTGTGTCTGTTTCCGTGTCATACATGTTCTATTTCTTATTCTCAGTACAAGTCAAAAGACCATAAGACATTAATCTCCCGTGTAATGACATGCAGTGCTAAATCTTATTGATCTTATAATAATTTTCTATTGATGCTTATCATGTAATATTTAATTCAGACCTCTCAAATATGATAATTCATAAGTCACATAAATTTAATAGTCCAAATTGATTGCTAAAGAGTAGGACCGTGCTTTTATAAGTTAGAAAAAAAATTAAACTCTTAACTTTTCAATTATTTCATTAATAGATAGTTTGGTGAACAAATTTAAAAGAAGAGTTAATTTAACTGGACTTAGATATCCATTGTAAAGCAATAAAATTTTTAGAGGATTGTTTAATGCATTAATATTTATTTTGATATTTTAATATATTAATATTGTATTTGTAGAAATTCTTTGAGTTCTCTCTTTTTAACTCTGAATCTCTTTGATTTATCGAGTGATAGATTGTCTCAGTATCTCTTAGATATTTTCTTGAATACTGAGTCTCTTTTAGTTCTGTATCCTTATTTAATTATCCGATGAGTTTCTGTATTCGTTTATGATTTAAAACTTAGCGAATCCATTTATCTCCATTCCAAAAGTGTTTCCAACAAACACAACTATCAACCTTTCAAATTCTATTCATCATTATCTTGATATTAGTTTGATATCAAAGCTAAAGGCTAGAGATTATGGTAAGGTAGAATAGAAAAGATATAGTTGGTGAAGGTAATGACCATAGAGATGATGTTAAGTTCTTGAGGTTGCAACTACAGAGGTTGCTATATAGTTTATAAGAAACAAATGAAATACTTCAAGAAGAAACAACTAGTATAAAAATGATGCCCAAGAGTTTGGTTCTAATGATGATACATCTCCTCACATAAGGGAATTGAAAAGATATCAAGCAAGGTATAGAGACCAAGATGAGTGGTAGAATAAATGCAACCGAATATTGGATATCTTAGAGTTTGAAAGTAAAATTGATATTAATAATTTTATTAATTGACTTAATATGTTGGAAAGAATATTCAAGTTTCATGAACCACTAAAACAAAAGAAAGTAAAGCTTGTGACACTCAAACTAAAAAAGAATGCGTCTTTTTGGTTGGAAAACCTGAAGAAGCAAAGAGAACATAAGGGAAAGAGTAAGATTATAACATAGGAGAAAATAAAAAGGGAGTTAAAGAGAAAATACTTGTTTGATAACTATAGGGAAGAGAACTTTCTCAAAATATATTATTTCAAGCAAAAAAAATTTAGTGTAGAAGAGTACACAACAAAGTTCGATAATCTCAGGAGAGCTTGTGGAACCAGAGGAGCAAAGCATTACAAGATACTTAAGAGGTCTGAAGCATAAGATTGTTAAAGTAGTTCAACTCTAGTTATATTGGTCTTTAAATGATATGACCAAGTTGGCTTTAAAAGTTTAGAAATAACATAAGTTTAAAAAAGGTTCTCGATACAAGTCAAAAGAATATTATACAAGAGAAGGAAATTCCAAGCCTACTCTTCAAAACAAAATGGTGTCAAAGGTGCAAGACAAGAGTAAAGGATCTGCTGGTAGCAAACAAATACTTGTTCTTGTTAGGATCGTTTCGGCACTAAGAGGAGGGGAGAGGGGGGTGTGAATTAGTACTTTCACAAAACTTCGACAATTTAGAAAATTTCATTCGATGAAACACTATTGGAAATATGTTTAACTTAAGAGCGTTTGTAAGCGTAGTGAGTAAGTAAGAGTAGTAGACAATTAAATAAAAAAGAAATGATAATGAAAAGTCAAATAGAAATTACAAACTGAGTTTATAGTGGTTCGATCATCGTGACCTATGTCCACTCTCGATTCCTCTTCCATCGATGCCA